CAGGAGGAAGGTCACGATCTCCATGCTGCCGTCTATGCAGGCCTGCAAACAGCAGAGGGGGTTTGGATCAAGTTCTCTTAACTCATTGACTGGCAGCCATTTTCAGAACAGAGAGTCGCTCACTGCCAGAGTTTTTTGAGCATTTTGACTGATTTTTCCAGAGCCACAGAATAGTTTGTGCTATGACTATGTAAACACCGAACACACCAAAAGAAAGAGTAGACTCTCTTCTTTCATCAGCAAAAAAAAATTTGTTTCTGCCCTATTCCGTTCTTCCTGGACTTGCGTCTCACCGGCGACATGTTCTCTCATAGAACCGTTCCCTTTTTCTTATTTGCCTACAGTCTATGCTCATCTCCCATCAAAAGTGGCAATGCCCCCTAGAGGGTTAATTTGTCACTACATACTCTGTCTAGAAGCCCATATTTACGGAAAAACTTTAGCCGATCGTTCCCCAAAGCCACTCGCATTGAAAAACATAAAAGACGTCTATAGACGTCTTTGGCAGCCAATGAGTTAACAGGGCGCCGCCACAGAGGGGGGGGGGAAGCTCACCTGGTGCAGGGCCGTGATGCCGTCGGCGTTGGAGCAGTTTACGATGTCCGGCCCGGGGTCGCCCCCCCCCCTGCTGGCGTCCTCGGCCTCCTCCAGCATCACCCCGGCCTCCTCCGTGTCCCCGCTGGCGCAGGCTGCCAGGAACTCGGCCGCCCGGTCGAACCGCACCCGCTTCCTGGGGGCAGAGGACACAGAAAATAGCTGGTCAGCAGCTCTAGTCAGGGGCGCACGGCCCTCTTTCAGGGATGTTCGCTCACGTTTAGGTTTAAAAAAGTGAGGTCGTTGTTTCTAAGACAAAAGACCAAGGATTTATTTTCTAATACTGTTGTAATTGAAACCCTAACATAGCTTTAATGTTGTGTTATTGTCATTTCTTTGTAATTTATTCCATATATGTGATTGTGAATCATTTATTTTCAATGTTTTTTCCATGTTAGCTTAGTTTTTTCCATTGATTCACTTCTTTATTAATTAAAAAATATCAACCACTGTGTAAATAAATTAATCAATACAGAAAAATAATGACTATCTTGTACAAAATTTATAAAAATTTTTAGCCAGCAAAATATATCTGATCCTTGATTTTGTTCCTGACAAACAGACAGACAGATGACTTATGCTCTGAAATGTTTTATTCTGTATATCTACAGAGAGTTAGATCTATTTTGTCAACAGCCTTCTTGGTAATGATTTGTGATGTGAAAAACAGGCATAAGTTACTGGCTGGTAAATGTATGTATGACTGTATGTGATGTTGACTCTTGTTGCTTCCTGATGGAGATACGTCAGTCAGAGTTTCTAGATGCCATCAAGACCAGAACGAGTAAAAATGCAGATGGTTGGGTCCTTCACATGTGGGATTAAATAGTTTCACGATAACGAAGAGCGGTTTGGAGATAAATGAACAAGTTCAGACACAAGCTGTTTTGAGATCAGTACGTGTTTCTTTCCATGGAATTTAAACAGAACGATGATGACTTTTCTTTATCAGGAGCATCTCCAAAGCCAAATGTTGATTTGTTTTGCCTCAGTTCAGTTGTACTCAATACGCACATAATAACCACCAACAGAACAAATGAGGCGAAGACCACCAAACTGACAGTAGGAAACCCAGCGGCCTATTTAGCCGACTTTTCCTGAGCATTCCATTGATTATTTAATGGATTAATAGTGTGACCAGGTAATAAGCTGCTCCAATGGGTGGAGGGATTACCCTCCATCACACACAGGCTCCTTAAACTGGATGGCACTTCTAATTCCACTTTGTCCAAGTAATGTTTTTCCTATAGGCAGAATCCGGATGAGTTCAGGAGCTCGCTGAACATGGGAATCTCGAACATCCCGTTGGAACATAAAAGAAAAAATAGAGATAAGATGTCAAATATCAAAACCTGCATATGAAACATAAGAGTTTTTATCTCGCCAAGCTGTAACCGCTGATAAAAAAGGGCTGTTAAATGCAAATCAGAAAGGAATGAGCATAAGAAGTCTGATTTACAACTTTTAAGGTACAGTCAATGCAGCGTCATTTGAACTTGATGTTGGGTGGAGATAAAGATGAGAAAGCTGATTAGTTCAACTTTGACCTGAGATTGTGATAACAGAAAATCAAAATGGATGATTCAATTAAACGTTGAAGCCCCAAAAACAAACTGACACATTCGTCCTTCTTAAAACAATTGTTCCCAAGCAAAGAAATGGGCTTAGCAGCATAACATACCCCCTTTAAAGGGCATCATTATGGCCGGTGTTCCTTGTACTTTAGTTTAAAAACAAGCCTTTAAAATCTACATGCCAGAGGTCCCAAAAGCAGACCGGTAACAAACGTGTACCGGACAGGACAATAGACGTAATTCTGCTTCGAAACACCGGACGAAACACGGATGAAGCCTCATCCTGCTAGCCTGCTAACACCCACAGCCGCCCCCTGCCTCAAAACCGACCCCCGGAGCTCAATTCCGGCTCCATCACACCGGCCGACGTTTGGTATTTGGTTATTGGGTGTTTATACGGTCTCGTCTCCAGCTATTTTTCCTGCCCACACACAGCTTGGCTGCCTTTTACATAACCGCGGATGTTTAAGCTAGGCTAA